ATGTCTCATACGGAATATATTTTTATATTCACACACACAATCATTGATACATACACATATATTTGTACTTAAACATGCATTTACAATTACACACAACATACTATGTACATAACTTTTCACGTATTTGTTCTTATCAGTTATGTTCTTATTAATTCATATCTCATTCATCATATATTTTTATATATATACACACACGTGTAACAATGTATATATATATACACTACATAAACACACAAATACAAATTAGACAAAGTAATTATATTTATATTACGTTACACATATATTTAAACATTCACATATATTGTACTATATATATACACATTTACATAAACATATAATTTATGTTACCATACAGAATATACATAATTCTTACCTATGGTGTGATCAGAAAAGCTTTGAGAATCATTTTTGCCTCGATTTATGATTTTCTCAAAAATTCGAATACCGTTTGGATAGCTTTTTTTGTTTATAATGTGATACACACATTAGTTTACGAAATTTTGAAAACTATATAACACAAAATGAGGAATAAATTTTACCTTGGGACACGCCGTCTCGGTTGCCAGCGTCACCACGTGCTGATGCTGGGATCAATGCACGTTGTTGTGTGTGTGTACTAGCAGCAGATCTGGTCGTCGTGCTTTCTTTTTTCTTCCTTTTTTCTTTTTTTTCTTTCTCTATTTTTCTTTTCTTTCTTTCTTTTTTTTTCTTTTTTTTTCCTTCCTTTTTCCTTTTTTCTTCTTTTTCTTCTTCTTTCTGTTTTCCTTTTTTCTTCTTTTTTTTTCTTCTTCTTCTCCCTCTACCCGACCATGACTCTTCTCTCTCTTCTTCTCCTCCTTCTTCTTGTCATGCATCACCGTGTCGCACAACTCATGCGACCCTCTACCTTTTCTTTTCTCTTTCGGCTACAGCGTCATCCAACACTGCATGACCCTTCTCTCTCTCCCGTAGATGCCGCTCGATCCTTTCTCTCCTCTCATAGTCATGCCTCTCTCTGCTCGCTTTCTTCTCTCTTTCTTTCTTTTTTTTTCTTTTTTTGTTATTTAATTACATATACATATACTGTAACACCCAAAGATTTTTATTTTATTGTTATTTTTATTTTATTTTAATTTAATTTAGAATTTTGTTTATTTTATTTTATTTTAATAATTAATTTATAAGATTTTAATTTAATTTAATTTAATTTAATAGAAATAAAAATAATAATAATAATAAAATGGGGTAAAATTATTTTTGGGATTTAACTGAAATTGAATTTGGGAAAAATGGGTGAAAATTTGGATTCTGGAGGTGTTTTTGAAAAGAAAATAGAAAACCAGGGGTCAAAACGTAATTTAGAAAAATAGCACCACGTCAGCAGCCCCGCCCAATCAGGACACGCCGCGTGGCAGGAACGCTGACGCGGGAAGCCATGTGGGATGGAGACACGTGGGCGATCCGCGTGCGCGCGATCGGACGGCCCAAATCCGTTCCCGCGAGCACGAACGACCCAGATCAAAAGCGCGCATGGACGGCCCAGATCTCATGCGTGCAGACGGTTCAGATTTGATCTCGCATGGACGGCCCAGATCGCATCGCGATGGACGATCCAGATTTATTTTCAATTTAATTGTGATCGGACGGCCCAGATTAAATCATGATGGACGGCTCAGATTAAAAGGGGAGGGTTATAAATAATCGCATCCACACCTAACCCCAAACCCTAACCGCCAGAACCCTCGCTGGAGAAGACGACCCAACCACCAGAAGA